CTGGAGTGTTGTGGGGATCGAACTACAGCAAACTGAGGCTGCCAGCATTGTGGAAGCAGCCACTTAAAGAACTGAGCTAGGGCTGGGCCCCCAAGATGAAAATAAGTAAAAAAAAAAATGTTTCTTTATAGAAACTGATTAATTTAAAAGGCTTATTTAAAAGACTGTTTTCAGGATAACTCAGCAATAGGCTTAACTCATAATATACTTCAAGAGCTTGTTAATAAAATAACCTACTATCCCCCAAACAGCCAGCCAGCCAGCCAACCAGCCAGCCTCTCTCCCTTGTATTTCAGTTCAGGATTCTGTCACACCCTCTCGCATCTTTCTCCTAAACCTAGTGATGTTTAGTACATCTAGAATCATGCTGTCTGCAGCCAGGGGGAATGATTCCAGACAGACGTATTTATTACCAAGAGGTATACGATGCCCTTCTGCTGGACTGGTGCTCTAAGTGAGGTGCTGGAAGCTAGGCAGGAGGCTGCCTACTGATCTGAAGTAGAGCTAGCTCTTTTTAAGCTATATCCTCCTGGTTTGGGAACTGATTTAACATATAAACGCAAAGATGGCAGAAAGAGAAAGAAGAGTCTTAGCTTAGTCATTCGAAACTCACCAGGGATTCCAACTGTGTTATTTGATTTCTTGCTTTTCGGAGTTCCTTAAGAATTATGTGCAATTGGTGCTGCATATTTTGGCGGTCAATTTTTTCATTTTCAAAGTCTAAAGCACATGACTGCATCTGAAAAGTGTCCAGGAAAAGACAATTACAATTGGTAGACACTGCCTAGTTCTCTTAACTGGATGCCTGCATTTTTTTTTTTTATTGCCACATAAAAACCATTTGTTATATCACCACAATAAGAATTCCTGGGCTGAGGAGATAGCTCGGTGGCGTAAGCGCCTGCCTGGCAATCACATTCTGAGTTCAATTCCTGGTACTGCACGCTGTGCCAGCCCTGAAACCGGGCATGGTGGTGCACACCTATAATCCCAGCGCTGGAGAGGCTGAGCCAGGTGGATCACTATGAGTTTGAGCTATGTAGCGAGACCCTGTATCATCAAAAAAACAAAACAAAACAAAAAAAGAAATCCCCTGAGTATAAGTAACTGAAATTTATGGAGAGGACTCAGTTCATCCAAGAGGCAAAGCCAAGGCTTGACATATAAGAGTGAGGAGTGTTTATGAAGTCGCTGGCTGGAAGCAGTCTTCTCTAATCCTATTTTGTTAGATAGGCAGGAAGAAGGAAAGGAGATGGCTACTTCCTAGCTTAGATTATAGTAAGAATCTCTGCGTGTATTTTGATTTTTTTTTTTTTTTTTTTTTTTTGGTGGAATCGGGGATTGAACTCAGGGCCTTGCATTTGCCAGGGAAGCGCTTATTCCACTGAGCCATCTCCCCAGGTCCCTCTGCTGTGTATTTTGAGAATAAATGGCGTCACTCTCTGAGTTCTGCTTGAAGTTATAAGATGGCCCTATTCAGAGAACCTGCTGGGTTAGAAAGGAAACTACAGCCCAACACTGGGGAAGAACCAAATTTGCCAAGGCCAGGGCCAAGAACATTGCTGTCATAGCTCAAAGAATCTAATTCAGCCTGAGACAGTAGCAGGAACATATAAGGAAGAGTTTTTTCAGTCTTATTAAAGTTTTTACAAGATATTTCTCACAACTTTCAAACAGTTCTCCACAGAGCAGTGCACAAACAAGGAAAAATTCCATTTTTTAAAAACTCACTGATAGAAGCAACCCCAGTAAGTACCTGTTGTTCCAATAGAGCCACCCTTGTTTGTTCCTCTTGTTGTTTTACCAGAGATGTGTAAAGAAGCTGGACCTGTGGGACGCAAAGAGATCCAGTGTTGACTCACCTGGTCGATGTAACCTGACCTAGGGGGCACGACATGCACACAAGTCACGTGGCTAACCAGGGCAACACCTGTGAGGCGGGGTCACTTGACCTCTCCAATGCACAGCAAGGGAGCAGAACATCCCTGGTGGAGTTCCCCAAGCCAAGGAACTGACCAGTGACACACAGCCCTGAGCTCTGCAGGGGTTCCACTGCCTCTCCTGAGGATTCTGACTTCTGCTATACTTTCAGACTAGGACAGTGAGGCAGGTAGTGTCTCCCCTCCTCGCTGCAGAGTGGGAGTAAAGTAATCATTTCTGCCTGATCCCTTCTGAAAGTTACTGCTCAAACCCATCAACCGCCGGGCGCGGTGGCGCGCGCCTGTAGTCCCAGCTACTCGGGGGGCTGAGGTGGGAGGATCGCTTGAGTCCAGGACTTCTGGGCTGCAGTGTGCTATGCCGATCGGGTGTCCGCACTAAGTTCGGCATCAATATGGTGACCTCCCGGGAGTGGGGGACCACCAGGTTGCCTAAGGAGGGGTGAGCCGGCCCAGGTCGGAAACGGAGCAGGTCAAAACTCCCGTGCTGATCAAACCCATCGAGACATATGAGAGTAGTAAAGATCTCTCAACTTGTGGAGGATTTGAAAATTACTATTATAATAGCAATAGCTAACCCTAGTAGCTAATAGGTTTTTTTCTTCAGTTTTTAAAGTACCTTCTTAGTTCCTCAGTTGATCCTGCATTACCAAAGCCTGATGAGGGAAGTACAGGCTGTTACTTATTTGGCCAGTAAATAACAAACTTTGGAGTCAGAGAAGGAAGGTAGGAGATTTGTCTAAAGCTATACATCCTGAACCAGAGACCAGGTATGGACTCCACACTACCAACAAAACTTTAAATTAATGATTATCTTGTCAAAGTAGTATTCAGTTCTAATAATCTTAACTTAGTAACTCCAAAATTACCAGGACATTCTAGGTGGACACTTCAAGTGTAATGAGAATACACTCATACTCGAAGGTACTGTATGAATTTACTCAAGCACGGCACTAGCACAATCAGGATGCCAGCCTAGAAACTAGCCTGATTCGTCTCCCTAGTTTACACTTACCCTCCCTTCCTCCCTTCTTTTCTTTCTGGGGTACTGGGGCTTGAACTTGGGACCTTGTGCTTGCCAGTCAGGTGCTTAAGCCACTGAGCTATATCCCTAGCCCTACAGCTTCTTTTAGCTTCTCACATATCCCTTCTCTTTCCTTCCCTCTCTCCCTCTCTCTCTCAGAACTCTTAGGTGTACATTTTTCTCTTAGGAGGAACTCCCACAGAAAACTACTGGTTCATTGGGTCTTTGTTCAAATACCACCTCCTCTTGGAGGCCTCCACAAGCTCCTCCTTTCTCTACCACTTCACCCCACTTTATTTTCTTCAGTTTATTCAATTGTTAAGGTAATTCTGATATGGGCTATAAACTGTCACAAAAGATCAGAAATTTGTTTCTTTTCTTGCTAATTCCCTGCTGGTTACAACAGTCCCGAGTTCCAGGCACGAGCTCCATGAAGACGGTGTTCTGAACTATGGAGAGCCTGAGTGGATCTGCTTACCTGAGACAAAAGCTCTTCAGATCGCTTCCTCTCTTCTTCAAGTTCTTTCCTGGCAGTATTATTCTGTTCCTTGAGTCTTTCTATTCTCTCTGTTTTATGCCTGTCATCTTCCAGATGTTGTACTTCTGCCCTTCTTTGTGAGCACAGCAACTGATTTAAATCTTGAATTTCTTTTTGGGCTTCTTCATATTTTTTTTGAAATTCATTAAGTTCCAAACTCAACCGACTTAGGGTTTCTCTTTCAACCTCAAGATCCCTTGTGGCCTTTGCCAACAGGTGGCTGTAATACTTCTGCTTCTCTTCTTGGAGATCACCTATGACAAAGAATATTATGGTAACAACTCATTTTTCGAGATATTACTTTATGAAATTGATTGTATTTGTGAGAAATTAAACTTTTAAACATGCTTGTTTAAATGAAATTAATATTTTTAGCTACAAAATGAAGACTGGTAGTATAGGTAGTATGACTGATAGGTGGTAGGTTAAGAAACAACAGTTTGGGCAGACTACTGATGTCGCCTAAGAGCAAAAGAAACAACCATCTACTTCATGAAGAGAGTAAGTTCCTAGTTTCTAAAGATGGACCAGAAAACAGGGACATAACATCATTTATTAGACATAATTGTCAAAATGGTGGGACAGAAAAGTGTAGACTCTATCATTGAAAAGTACCTATGTTACTCTGAAAAAACATGAGGGGAAAGCAAAGGAGGAGGGTAAGAAAGAAACTGCACTATGTTATCAAAGAAAAAAATTATACTTACCCTATAATGAAGATTCTTTTATGTACAGTAAACACATACCACTCCTATGCTAAGTAGCTCTGCCCCATTAGAGATAAACAGCTTACAGTTAACTCCAGAGAGGTGCCCTTGATCTTTTTAGCATTAGCTGTTTTACATATTGAAGCATGACAGTGCAGGAGGGCTTGCCTCTCTTTCGGTGTCTCTTTATAGAACTCAAGGCATCTGTCCCTGTAGGGCTGCCAGTTCTATAAGCAGTGCCTTGCTTGGAGATTTCTGCTTTTCACCTAGCTTGTCACTTAGAACTGCTAAATCTATTTCTTCACTGGGAAAATGAGCCTAATTACCTGGGCCCTGCCTATAGCATCTTTTAGAGTGACTGTCAACCCCAGCTGAAGGCAATGTTACAAGAAATGCAAAGTGCTAGCCCAAAGGACAGCAGTATGAGGAAACAGCACCTCAAGTCCATGGTGAGGTTCAAAGGATTGAAGAGTCACGTACAGAATGTATCCTTAGCCAGGCATGGCGGTGCAAACCTATAATCCCAGGCACTCAGGAGGCTGAGGCAGGAGGAGAACAAGCCCTGCCTGGACTACACATCAAGACTGTCTCAAAATAAAAATACAAATGAAAAACCCAAAACGTATTTTTTTCTCCTTGAGTTGATATGAGTAAGGGTTGGAAGGAAGAAAAGTGAAAAGGTAAGTGACAACAAGGCCATCTCTGGCGAAGTGACAATGGGGCGACCTTTAAAGGATAGGCAGGACACGGGTGGAGGAAGTTCCATGATGACTTTCTAATCTATGATGTGTGCTCCGCTTATGCCTGGAACATCAGGAAATGAAATGGACTTGCAAAATGGTATTTCTTATTTCAAACTTAGAAAGTTTCCTCTTATTTTTTTCTAACACATCTATAAAAATCTAAATTTGATGAATCATTCCCTCGGGAAAAGGTCAGTCCTATCCCAAAAGGACACTTTTGTACCAATCAGTACCTTCTGATTCAGCCTTTTTTGTCTGCTGTGGGGGTGAAGGAACAGATGTTTCCATTTTTCTCTCCAGCTCGAAGATCTTTGCTAACAGCCCCTTAACAAAGGCCTCTCGCTGCTGATCATACACAAGCCACTGCTGATTTTTCTCCAGAGCCTTGCAGACAGATGAAAGGAAAAGAAAATTATATATATATATATCAAAAAATCTTAAAATGAACAAGGAATTCTAAGTGATGTCTTTTCCAAAACATCAAAACAGGGTTCACAGAATGATGGGCAAGCACTGTACATCACACATACTTAGAATACACTTAACGTAGCAAAGTCATAGTTGATGTGGGATTGGGTTTGTCTGCTGCCTCTTGCAGATAACTTGCTTTGTGTCTGTGCAGATGTCACTCTGTGGGTAGGATACCTTTCTGGCACACGTGGAAATGAGCTGCTCAGATCCTACTCTAAGAGCCCTTCGCAGCTGCAGGCAGCTGTTCTTACTGTTACTGCCTTCAAATCTCTCTACTGTAGGGGTGCGCTGAGTGGCCCCAGCCAACAGTCATGCAGAGACAGGCAATCTGCACTGCAAATGAAACTCCACTCTGGAGCAGTCTGCCTTGAAGTTCCTGTGCGGCTGACAAAGACCTTGTCTCCACGGCATTCCTGACTTTTTCATTTTATTTTTTTTTCCTATTTATTTATTTATTT